CATAATCATATTTAAAATTATAAAAAAAATGAATATTATCATCATGTACCTACGAACTTGTCAAATTTTGATTTAGTGTGATCGTTCGTATGTGCCTGTGTTTACGTATTACCATTACACCAAAGAAAACATCTTTATATCATAATACCTAGTTGTATAGTCGTAAGTCAAACCTATAACAATTAGAAACAAAAAAATTATACGAACGTACGATGTATACCTACCTCAACTTGTAACGGCGTTAAATGTAGGTATTCGCAAATTTTGAAATAATTAAACTTAACGATAAAACGTATACACTCAATAAATAAAAACGACAAAGTGGACATAATATTACTTTCGCAATAATCAAACAACAACTACACCATTTTAATTTTACCTTTCACTATAAAAATAAAAATTATACTGTATACAATAACGTTGAAAAACTATTAAAATATTACAACATAGCATTCGGAAACGAAAATTTTGTAAAGTGGAGTAAAAAACACCAACGCCGTGTTAAACAACATATTAATGTAAAATGATTACGATAAATACGAGTTTGCACACGCGAAAAATTGTTAGTGTGACGTCGAGTCGGGGCGCGCGCTCGGCGGTCACGACCGGCCGGTGTGTTTAATTAGTGCCGTCGTCGAAATTAAAAAAAAAAATTAAAAATTGGGTTACCGCCCGATAGGGGCAAACACTTTTGAGGGGTAGGCCAGAGGTAACTGACKTGCAGCTGGACGTTCGTGTGCTTGCGTGCTTATACACGCGGACGTTGATTATAATAATATAATGTTTATACCTGACACCTGGTCCGCGAGGGATAATAATATCATATAATATTATATGTATATGTAATAAATCGCGATCRCGGAATATAATGTATACGGTATTCCACCGACGGGTTTGGTTCGGTGAGAGGGGGGGAAGGGGTAGCACGCGTCGTCGTAGTGTCCGCGGCAAGAAAACAAAAAGCCGCGAAGGGATTGTTGCCCCGAGGTCATAATTGTATAATACGTCATAATAATACCTATATAACGACGCGACGACCTTTTTTTCTCTACTCTTCGTCACTCTCTCACACTTCCACAATGTCTCTCTCGTTAAACAATGCTATAAATGTTTTCGTTTTTTTTTTTTTCATTTACGTCCGCGCGGACAACAAAAGATCGCGGGTCATCATCGCGGCCGACCCGCGACTACTTGTATATCACATACTATACATTATAATACGCTTGCACATCAGCTGCACTCGCGATGCCCGCGAATTTATTCATAAATGTCCGCGGGCCAGCTGCACAAAGCCAACGGTCTCCCGGCACCCCCCTTAAGGGGCGACCAGCCGCCAGTTGACCCTTTGACCGAAAACGGGACAACGCGACCGTACATCGTATAGGTATACATAACTTATACCGAATGTGTATCCCGCGCGCGGATCCCTCTCGCGACCGTCGACCGAAAACAATAATAATATAATAAGTACCCGGTCGTTTTTTTTTTTTACACCGCGTATAAAGGCACGCGCTCGTTTCAACTCACGTATGGAAATACTCGTTTTTGTTATTATTAATGGGCCATTGATGGTCATCCCTTTTTTTTCCGTCGGATTAGACCGCACACCTGGCGACGAACTTTTCCCGTTTTATACGCGTCTAAAATATAATAATAAATTATTATATAGGTACAAGCGTTATATTACGCTACAGTGATRATATTATGTTTTTATTCGTGAATATTTACATAGAATACTGAATTGCTTACTATTATAAGTTAAATAAATACATTTTGAAAAATAACGTTAGATTTTACAGTCATACAGACAATTTAGATTTATTATTGCGATAATTTTAATGTTTTTTAATAAATAAATATAATTTTAATTCTATTATTTACTAATACCTAACATTCATTAAAACAATCAGGTAATTTAAAAATATTGAATATATTCTAAGAATAGTTATGAGATTTCCGACTCTGTAGTTGCTAAATAATGATCAAAAATAATAGTAATATTGGAGGCACTTCTACCTAAAATGTTTAGAACATTTGAGCCCAGTTTACATCTTCAACGTTAAGGAATGCTCTACTCAACATGTTAACTATGCAATCAGTGATTTTTCAAAAACTGTATTTATAGTAAGTATTTACAACATTTTTAAGTTAAAATTAATGAACCGCGTTAGAGGTTAAAATAACTAGCATAATGTTCAATCGATAACAATTATTTATATAACGATAATGAAACTTTAGTTTCCCATAAATATTATTTTTTATATTTTTATTCGAGGTAAATAACCTAATACTCGTATGTTATAGTTATCTTTAACGCGAAGTTCACTAGTAAGTTGTTATTTAACCTTAAAAAAATTAATGCAATCTGCAATACCGTCATTTTTAAAAACATATCATTAATTTATTGATATATGAGTGATTTTGTGTTGACTAGATGTTAAGTTTAAACAATCGAACTTCATATGTGGGCACTGGACAATGTTTATGTATTTGGGTTGGAAATTTAGAATGATTTAAAATATTATACGCTTCAATTAACAAGTACTTACCTAAAACATAGGTACTCTTTATTTATTAAATTCATTATTAAGTATTAAATTTAGTTACTCATTATTAATTTACATTGTTTACTCTAAAGGGTAAAAATAATGCTAAAAAAAATAAATGCAGTAATGTTTGAGGGGCAATTCGAATTATCATGTCATAATGACAATTTTACAAAATCGTTTCACTAGACTTTTATAGTTTTATATAATCTTTATGGATGAGGAAAATTTGAAAATTACGTCATGAATGAAAAAAAAGCTTTACTGAACTAATTTTAGTATGAAAGACTGTATGGCTTTTATATGTATAAATATTTATAATATATTACCRACGGAAAATGCATAAATTATCTTTTTTGAAGTGATAATAATATTGCATATTTTTATAGGAAGAATTATACCAATATATCAGCAAACATTACAGGAAAAAATCTTTGAACTTACGAGTTAGATAACAAACGTTACAATTATTTTATCAGAAATGCATTAAAATGCACACTGCACAAATGCATAATAAATTAATAAATTATATTTTTTCATATTTTATTTATACATTTCAAAAACCCGGAAACGGCTTCGAGGCACTTTGCCTATAGTTTTTAGGTCAAGAATAAAAATAAAAATAAAAACAAATATGATGTTATTACAGCATCTTTTAAATCATATGTGTTTCATATTATTAGCAGGTATATGTATTTATATCATCTTTTTTCAATATTTGTTTTTCTATTTTATTCGTGGACGCGTGTGGCACGGCATATACCTTTTAGGCGATCGATCAATCGACGCTCATAATATATAGTGATATATTATATATAGATGTTTATCTTACACAACTGTTTCGCTTGATATAAAATTCTAATACACTACACGTTAGGAATAGTATTTGAGTTTTTTGTTTCAAACTTCACCATAAAAAGTAATAACTAATCGAGAGTTTTATCGTTATATTGTTCAATCATATTAAGTTATGTCACATAAAAATTGCATAAAAATATGTAAGATATAATATTGTATTRGTGTTTAAGATTTTAAAATTTATAATATAAAATATATTATATAATATCATATCTGTCGACATTCTTATGTAGGTATGTACAAAAAATATTGGCCGATTACGAATGAAAGACAAAATATGAGGATCGCGTTGAACTTGTKCTAATGAATGATTACTTATTCATTATTTGTTTTTTATTTACTCACATCATATTTGTATCTCATCATTTATTACGTTTCCTATTTCTAAACATAAAATCGAGTTGATATAAAAGTAATATCAAAAGTTTTCTCGCGTAATTTAATTTTATATTTCGAAACGGCAGTCGCAACGATATCTTCTGAAACGGCAGTCGCAACGATATCTTCCGGGCTAAATACGAAACGTTTCAACCCTTTCTGTACGGAAGGGTTAAATTTGGGAAGGGTGTCCGTAAGGCAGCGCCACCAGACGGTGACAAAAACGCTCAGAACGATCAAAAACGAGTTTTAATATCATGACAGTTTTATAAAATCTTATCGAAATAAATACAATAGAACAGAAYGAATTTAATGATTATTTATAGTCACAAACGTATGAAAACCTATTATATATTCTTTAATTATGTTACGTATTAGTCTATTATATTTTTTATACATACCTTATAATTTAATATGAAATTATCTCTGATATTACTATTTTTCATTCAACTGACTCATCTAAATGAGAATCCGGAATTCTCAACTGTTTAACTGTTTTTTTGGTGAAGCGTTCAAACGTAAGCCTTTATGCAACCCGAACGACAACAATAATATTATTGTTATGTTATACGTTATGCAAAACCACGTGATATTATGATATTATGCTACACATAATTATTATTTTACATCATGCAATATAATAATATAATAAAATAAATAATTAAAAATAATAAAAATATTTTTCGGACGTTCGCGTGGCACCGTGCACATATACATCGAGTAAAATTATTATTATATGATAGTAGCGTGTCGCGTCGGACGCGAAGACGGTGTGAAAGGAAACGGAAAAACCGAGCAGCGTATTGTGGGCGGGCGGTGCGGGGATCGGAAAAAAGGCACTGGGTCGGCTGCGGCTGGGGCGGGAAAACGAAAACGAAAAAATAAGAATAAGGGTAGAACGAAGGGAAAACTACACCCCCTATCGCTACTTCGCCGTGTGCACCGGGGGTGGGACGAGCGACCGAGAGAAGAGAGAGCGCTAGGGGCGGACGCCGGCGCAGAAATACGCACGTAAGGAAAACGTCTGGCGGTGTACCGCGCGCTCTTCCTAAGAGGGAAAACCCGACCCCTATAGCGCCACGGCGCGTACGGCCGTAGAAAAGGACGGCGCGCGGCGGCCGGCACACGCTACCGACAGGGACAGCGATATGTCCGCGACTCCAAGACATCTTGGCCGCGTATCTCCTCAGTCGCGCCGCGACGCCGACACAAGACGCCGCCACCGCCGCCGCCGCTCTTACCGCTCTTACCGCCGCCGCCGCCGTCGCGAGTGCTACACACACACACACACACACAAACGCGCGCGCTCAGTTCGCCGCGCTCGTACAGCCGACGTTTTTCCGGCCCGGCGTCTTGAGACGTCGCTCAGTCTCAAGACTACTCTGACGTCGCGAACACCTTAGGTGCCCGACTCCCGATTTATGCGTACACGCACGCACATATAATATACATCTCTGCGACACTCCGATAGTATATAATATCGTATACTGCAAGTGTCGCGAACGCAGGTCGCAATACTATTTTACGCACGGTTCGTTATTGTATATCTTATTATTTATTAGTTTACTTATTTATAGTAAATTTTCACTAGTTTGCCACTCGCGTTCGTCTCGTTATTTTTGTTTTCAAAAATATAYATATTTTTTAATACGTTTCTACTCTCGAGTTTTTAAATATTTTTTTTTTTTTTTTTACAGATTTGAAGGAAAAATTTATTTTTTCTCTTTCCGTAATCGTGTAGTTGTACAGATCGAGTGAATTGCTTCCGGCCGAATTTTACGCGCGTCATGTGCAACCAATACTGTTATTACTACTTCCGCTGCCACCACTGTGTCTGATCATCGTTTGGACACGTGAGCGAATAAAGAGAAAAATATATCATCAAATTGTTTCACATCAGTCAAGACGATCTCTTCGGTCCCGCTGGATCTTCGCGCCTCGCCCGGCCACGAACACCTGCAGGGCGACGACGACGACGAAATGTCGGCGGACATACAACAGCAACAGCAGTCCGTGTTGTTGCAACGGCCCGTGTTCAAGATGAACCCGGCCGCAGATTTCTGGCAGCAACAGCGGCAACAGTACCAGCAGCAGCAGCAACTCCAGCAGCAACAGCAGCAGCAGCAGCAACAACAGCAGCAGCAGCAACAGCAACAGCAGCAACAACAACAGCAACAGCAACAACAGCAGGCGGTTGATTCTTCGCCTTCACCACAACCTCAGGCGGCGCCACCACCGCCCACGCTGCAACTCAACCATGACCAACAGCAAGTTCCATCGTCCATCAGTGCAGTCGGACAACAACAGCAGCAAACGCCGAACAACGTACAGGTGACTGCTGACGAGGCGATCGCCATAGTCGCTCAACAAGTCGCACAACACCAACAACGACAACAACAACAACAAACGCAAAATGTCGAGATGACCGACGACACAGACGTAATCGYCGGACAACCGTCACCGGCGGCTATCCGCGCTGCCGTCCAGCAACAACAGCAGCAGGACTCGTCTTCAGCCACAGGACTGGCCGGACAACCAACGGTTGCGGGCGACCCGTCGGTATCCGTCGTTATCAATCAAAATAATTCTCTCGTGTTGAGCGACCCAAAAATGATGACCGAAAAACTGGTCAGCGAATTACAGGTGAGTCCATTTTATTTCCACGCKTATTTTCGTAGTAATAATTAATATTATATCCACAAGTTCAAAAAAATTACCTGTTTTCCCATTAACATAAACAAATAATTTATCGACAAGTGTTTTTATTTTTATCCAATTTTTTAGATTTTTTTATTATTCTAATGAGAAATTGGATTTTAAAAATAATGTTATAACAATATAAAATTTAAAAAAACGTGCAGGATTTCACTTTTTTTGACAGGGAATATTATATTTTCCACCATAAAGCGATAATAATAATTTTTTAACAATGCGATTAGGTATGTCTCGAAATAATGTTGTTTTAAAAAATTTAAACTAGAAATCTAATTTTTTTWAAYTAACATATAATAAATATTATTACAATCGATTAAAATAAATAATAAGTAGAACAAAATTATTATCATGTCGGATACAATTCATTTAAACAAATTAACTAAAATAATATAACTAAAAAAATATTAATATTCTATATTTTTATAAAAATATTATATAGTAAAAATAATAGTTTTTTTTAGTCTAAATACAATTTTTTTTAAATATTACTCAAATATTATCATTGCGAAGTGTGCTATCGAATTTGTATTTTAAACTTTAAAAAAAATAATTTTTTTATACAAAACATCAATGAATAAAATGTCCAACTTAATTTCCCGTTTTATCTCAAAGCAAAATTTTTATTTATTGTTCATAATATATATTTGTTTAAAAATATAACTCATATAAATTTGTTTCAAAAAAAATATTATTATTAAGAAAAAAAAGCTTGCACGTGTACTTGGGTGGCAATACGTAAAAAAACACATCTTTATTTTTAAAATTAAATTATACAGAGGTAAAAAAATAAATGTACTGAAATAATATTAATACAAAACAGATTGTTGGCATAACACCAAATCGAAAGAGTTGATGACGGCCAATGAAAAAAATTTAATTAAAAACGAAGTATAGGTAAAAATTATGATAGACAAAAGCCGAATATTTAATATTTAATTTTGTTACTCAATCGCAATTATTAAAATTAAATAATATTTAGATGTTTATAAAATCCTTTAATTTTGACGTTTATAAAAAGAAAATATCCCAGAGAAAAATACATTTTAATTTTTCAAGAAAAAAATAATACAAARTATAGCAACATTTATTTTAAGGGAATACGTTTATAGATAGTCAGATAGGTATTTTATTTTTATTTTTAGAATGACAATTTGTGGAAGTTTATTTGAATAAAGCTACTAGTTGTATACTATTAAAGTTAAAAAAAAAAAACTTTACATTAATATATTAAGTTATTGGAAGTTGAAGATCTTAATTTTATAACCACAATCATTTTATGTATGAATAAATCATATTTATGTTTTTAAATCACCCAAAATTATAATTTTCATGTTGGATTAGAAGTTTAAATTTCAAAGTGTTATACTTCGTTGCAACAAAATTTTATGAATTAATAATTTTTTACTGTTAACTTTGAAAAGCTTCAAACTAAAAAAATTAAAGCATATCGAGACGAATATCGATACTAATTTAATACTAATTTTCTAATAATTGTATAGTTGGCATAGTAACGTAAAATAGCTAACCTACTAATTAAGCATTAAATGTATGTGAAACGTAACTATAAACTTACAAGTAAAATGCACTGTCCATCAAAACAAAATAAAACAGAAAAATATCGGCAAAAAATAATAATAAAACTGTTAAATTCCAAAAAATATGATCATGCTTAAAATGTAAAATGAGTATGTTGAATTGTGAAATTGAAGTTTACGACTGGACACGGCACACCAGTATGCCGTGGTCATTGTTGCCTAAACTGCGGCGGGGGTAGTTTTTTTCTCGAATCCTAACCTTATAAAAACCGGTCRACCGGCTTGAGCACGGGCTACATAACCGGATGGTYGCCAGGAGGTGTTGCGTAACACGCGCGACCCCTATTAACATGTAGGGTATTTCGAAATGGGGTAGCCCTTAGTAATTCATTTTTATATTTTTGGGGTGCYGACTGGCTATTTGAGCCGCTGTAGTTCTTTTAATTTCGACACAAATTTATAATTTGACTACGAAAAACTCTTAATATTAAAAATTATTACAATTTTCTTACTATAAAAGCAATAATATAATATTGAGAATGATCGTAGTTTTTTTGTTTGTAGTAGTAGGGTAAGAAACAACCTATATGGCCGGAAAGTTTTGCCTACGAAAAAATAGAAGTAATTCGCGTGGTAAAAACTTGTGGGTGGGTGACAGTGTAGAAAATATAGACGGGCAGGACATAAGGAAACTCAGTTTAAGGATGAATGGGGAAAAAGAATTGGAAAGGACCTGCGCGTTTCTACCGGTCTACAGTGTGCGGTGGCGCACTCTTCACTCCGAGCTTTTTGCTGCCCKACACCGACACCAAACCGTAGTGACCACGTGAACATAACACGAGTCACAACCCCTTTGCCGATTTGAACCTTAAGCAACATGTATCTGACACACGTATTTCAAAAATAAAAAATATAGTTAATTATTTATTTTAAATATTTAATAAATTATGATATACCTGTTATAYGACTATTATAATAGTAATAACAACGGCCACAATAAAAGTGTACCATATCAGATTAGTATTAAACAAAAGATAAAACACAATTAAATAATAAAAGCTAATTTTACTTTTAATATTACAATATTWTTATCGATTAAAAAAAATTCTAAATATCCTATAGTCGTGATTATTGAATTCTTGTAATACTTTCCTATACCTATAGGCTATAAGCAGTATAGCGTTGAACCAACATACAAAAATATATAGTTACTAATAATAAAATATGTTKTTTTTTAACTCTAACTAAAAAATAAAAGATACATTTGTGTATTGTTTTTATTTTTTTGTTTTTAATGCTGCTTATTGTGGATTCACCATGTACAGAACCGATCGATATCAGACCGCACTCTTGAAGAATGCTGGTCTACTCTTCAGCGAGTCAGCTGGAACGTCTTTCGTTCAGTACGCTATTTTTACATATAACAATTTTATAATCATATAGTCATATAGTATTCTACATAATATTTTATTGTACTTTCGTTTTGTTTTGGTTTTATTTCGAACGAATAGCGTGTTTTATTGCGTATGCATATATGTGTGGAATTTTTGTTTGGTTATTATTATATCATTATTATTTTGCTCACTTTTCGCCTGCATGCTTTTATTACCCTCCTGAAAAGTCAAAATCGCTTTTTATTGTAATACGACTGAAATTTGTTTACTGCACGTTCCTTTCGATATTATTTTTGTGTGCTATACAACGCATCATATAGGTATATTGTTTATTCGTATAAATATGTGTATGTATACCTATATCAGTTAAGWGGGGGTGGAGTGAGAGTACTAAAAATATATCAAGAAAAATACCGTATTACAAAAGTCTTCTGGTCACGCGACCGTTCTACCTACGGACGTCTCCTGTCAATATACACTCACACACAAATACCCTTTGCAGGCAATCGTGTGGAAAAAATCAAGCTGCTCATTTGGTTTTATCACGAGAAAACATATTATATACCTACGATACACATATAAATATAATATATATGTACCGTAKTATGCCCATATAATATTGTTTTTTAATATTATTATACTTTTTACATTTTGTTCAAGTTAAACTGTTTGAMGATTTCGAATGAATATAAAATAAAAAACCGCTTGCCGAACAATATAAAATCACTTGTCAGTATACTCGTACTTCCTGAGATAGAGATCTCTTCGGGGTAAAATATTCCATTTTTCTACTGTTATATAGGATCGATGACCCTCAATAAGTTTTGCATAACGTCAATTAAAACAATTTTGTCGTAACAAAGGATACTCCTTCTGTTTGGTAACGGCGGCCGCCGCCACCGCTGCACCGCCGCGCCKTCTTCTCGTTCCTCCAATAGCCATATGAAGTCCGATTGTGTTTTTGTATGTAAATATACTTTCATCCGCTATCTTGATTCTGCCATCCAAACTCAATTAATGAATTCTCCTTTTTACCTTTTTTTCTTCCCTCCCCTCCTCCAGCAATCGTTTATTCACGTCACGGTTTCCTCCGAGAATACATAACGCTGACATGTGCCACGGACAAGGTTAATTAGAGCAATATACRAGCGCTCCGGTGTATCTATAAAAGTCATTGGAAGTCCATCCGCGATGGTTCATCATCGAAACCGTGAGAAAACACCGTTAGCAGCTGTTAAAAAATTATTAAATTTTTTTTACCAGTTCCTTTTGTTTTATAGAATAGAAACCCTAGTTTGTTATCATCATGCATACGGGGACAATCCGGTTTATTTTTTTCATTAACAAGAGGATTAAAAAAAAATCATATCTCTTACATACGGTATTACAACGGTTAAAATAAAAAAAAACATCACTAAAACGGTATTAAAATGTTTCTGTTTTTGTTCAAATTTTATCTTATCTTAATTTTTCTATGTAGTATGTACATATGAATTAAATTAATCGAGTTGACTTCATGTGCACATAACATGTAATTAATATTATAATCAAATAAATTACACATATTTTTAATTTCATGACTTCGCGTTCATTGAATTGTATATTCAAAACATGCTATCAATTTAAAAGGTTTAACTTTTTGGCACCATTTGTTAGTTTCATTAAAATATGTACTGCTATTTCTATAATAATATAATATATAAACTCACAAAAATAAAACTTTAAAACTTGTTTAAATTAATGAGATTATTAAGCTATATAGATTTTTTAACAAATTCCTTATAAATGTTGAATCTTAAAACAATATTTAGCAAAAAGTCATTGATAGTATCTATTCTACAGTTAATTATATAGTATTTTACACCAATGATATTGCATATCTATTATGTTGTATGTAATTATATTAAAAGATTCAAAAATTATAATTTTCAACTTTCATTTTACCGGTCCATTTCGGCCAGTCATGGATCACCGCTACCGGTCACGTATATGGTATATACACGTACAGTATATATTATTTTGAATGCAAATGTTTTGGAAAAATATCGCAATTTTAATTAGCTCCCGTCGGTATAACATCGTATACTTATTCCGATAAAATATTAATAGTCACTATATTATGTCTTTTGCTCCCATCGCAAAACAATGATACRAGAAATACATTTTTTAATATTTAAATTATTGTATACAGTAGCAGTGATATGCGCGTGCATTCGAATCACGTCGGCCGGCGGGAACCAACCCGTGAAGCGGTCCGAAATCCGAAGTCCTGATGGCGGTAGCGGTACACGTAAACCTATTATTGTAAAACAATGAAAAATTATTGTATCGAACAAAAAAAAAAAAAAAAAAACAAAAAATTAAAAAAACTACTCAGGACACAATGACTTAAAATCGTCGGACCGAGGAAACAACACCTAGCGATACTAATGTTGGATAGGAGGGGGGGCACCACAATGGCGGCAGTTCGGACCCAGCAATTTCATACGCAAATACTTATACATAATAGTAATAACAATAATAATAATAAAAACAATAATAATGACAATATTATTATAATGCCAGTAGTAAAACAAAACGAAAAACGTCGTCGAGGCTTCCGAAAGAAATAAATTCGAACGCGGCACGCGAGAATTGCGAATGGGGCCATAAATAAAACGCCACTACCACGTTTATTTTTCTGCTAAGAAAATCCCGTGCGCGCGTATTTTATAATATAAATAGGTAAACCTATAGTTTTGTCGAGCGGCCCCGGGGCGGACGGCATCGCCCAACCCCCGAAAGCAAAAAAAAATTATTGTTATTACAATATCGTTATCTGATTTCGTTGGCCAAAAACGCCTCACGAACCGCAGTGCATAAAAACTCCGATCAAAATTTAATGTATCGTGTTTTGCACTGCACTCGTGAATACGTTTTCTTTATCATTTAAAGATAATTATAATAAATATTAAATATTATAATCATAATTATTATATTGTAATATTTTATTATAATATAATYATAATCATAATATTTTATAATACATATCATAAAATTATAATATGTATTATTGATTCTTTAAAAATAAAAATAAAAACATAAAAGTAAATATTAGAAAAACGGTTTGTGCGATGCGTCCGCGAAAAGAACAACACCTACTCATAATGTTGGCGCGATAATGTAATAATAATAATAATAATATTATATCACGACGTGTAACGACACTATTCACACTATATACATTCAGACGACCGCAACGTCGCGGTATATTATTAATAATTAGGCATTATTATTATTATTATTATTATTATTATTATTATTATTATTATTATCATTATTATTATTATTATAATCTCGAATGGTTTGCGGGTGATCGTCTTCGTTCGGATTCGCCGCGAGGTCATTAAACGTCTGGTGACGTATACGCGATGCGATAAAGAAAGAACACCAGTTATAATATACACTTTAAAACACATGTACACACACACACACACACACACACTCACACACACATACACACACACATACACACACACATGGCACATATGTAAAGTTCCCGACCTAAGTCAACGTTGGGCTAGGCTAATATCGACGTCGGCGGTAGCGGCGCGGCGTACAGTACTGTCTGCGTCTTCGTTCGTCCAACAGCCGCAGGTGGCGTCTAACCGCAAAATTCACCGTGATGATGTTGTTATTGTCACCGCGGTTGGCGCGATAAGCTATTACAATAATAATATATTAACTTATTATTATTATTATTATTATTTCAAAGTTGGTCGAATGAAAACAAGAAAAAAATGTTTTGATTGTCCGTCGGATTTATCATGAAATTAAGTTGTTTAGACTTTCAGTTTAAAGTGAGTAATATAATAGTTACGACTCGCTTGTAGGTACGTTTTGTTTTTTGCCGCCAAGTATACGTTTATCGCACCGATTTAACTGGGTCAACCAACCGCCGCCGCTGCCGACGGGGTATGTCTGTTCTATTCATTTTTTTATATTATTACTTTTGGTTGATATTATTATTATTTACTCTTACAACCGAATACCAACGTTTTCCAAACACGCCTACACACAATTAATAGTGCACACACAACAGTTGCATAGGTCTTGCACGTCGACATGTGGCCGACGGCAMCGGTGCGGCGTAGCGCGCGTCCTGATCGCGTTTCCGTCGGTGCACGATCACCATGTCAAATTTGAAAACGGATACGATAAAACCGTTCACTGTTTATCAATGGATGTTGACTAATGCACTAAAGGCTTGTATAGTAAATGATATTTTAGTATTATTTTCGTAGTGCCGGCCAYGAACCATGAATCGTGCTGTAGACTGCAGGGTGGTCTACTTATCTTCCGCGACGCGTCACAATTCACCCGGATTCCTTCCGCGTCCTTGTCCGCTATTTTTAGACTATGTCTAATTATAATACGTCCGCCCGGTCATGAACCCAAATCCCTCCTCTCACACACTCATCATCTCAATTCTTGGAAACCCAAAAACAACACGGGACCCCCTACTGAGTTGTATGGACGTAATTTTTTTATAATTTCTTTTTCGATTCGTCATCTTTTATTAATACAATATATATTTTATACATACATATTATTATATAACATCTATAGGGCGTATTTATACTGTTCTATTCTTCTGCGTGCATATTTACACTAACCAACCTCAACAAGATAAGCGTTATCATTGTGCGGTGCGTTGACCCGAGAGTTAGGTACAGCTCATAATATGTCAGCTACATAATATAGTACCTACGTCGTTAAAGAATGACGACGCGACGATGCGAGTCACGATAACTGTAATTTCATCTCCTTGACATTAWTATACATTCCGAAAATCTGACCGCCTACATTTGTTTGTATATTATAGTATTGCAGTTGACGTGATCGATATTAATCAATTTGAAGATTTCTTTATACTTTTTTTCCTCATAATAATCATTATTATTTCAGTACTGATACGCATCGCCAAACGGGTTGATGGATTGTATCTGTCTGTATAGTTCATTAGTGTTCATTAGTCGTGTTTGACGGGTTTCCGAAAGGGTTGTTTGTTAAAATGTTTTCCCGTTACAACCAGGTGTTTCGAACCGTCGTAGACACTATCTTATGTTGACCTTATGTTGACTACTACGACGATGGTAGTGGTGGTGGTGGTGTTTTACAGGTGATCATACTCACGCGGGGTGTGTGTTTGTGTTCCGCGGGAGACGTCACCGAGTACAGCGTAAATCAAAATTAATAATATTAAAATAATTTTTCCCTCTGTTATTTTAATTTTTTTTTTCGTCTGTACTTTATCTTATTTGCAACCCACTTCGGCCGCCGTTTTCGTCGTGTAAATGTTTGGATATCAGTCAAACGGCGTTCGGGCGCGCGAGAATAAAAAATAGTTTTTAATCATCGTCGGAATCCATAAAAATCACATCGGCTACGTTAAGTGTCTGTAATGGATTTACCCCTTTTTACCACTATACTTTTAGTCGGTGCTAAATAAAAAAAATATATATATACATATAACGGCCATCACAGTTGCTGAGAAAATGCAATCAATGTTAAGTGGTTTATTGTTTTTAACCGTAGCTGTTTGTAGTGTCGTCTCGTGTTTTTTTCCCTATTTTTTTTGCCAATTTTATTTTATGTTTTCGACCAAAGCACTCGCATGATGCTTGTGTCCGTGCAGTAGTATAAATGTACATTCTGCATAATGTTATTATGTCCCTTGTATTATTATACCGTATAAGCTATTATATTTATAAGTATATTATGTGTGTGTTTATGTGTTTGTGTTTAATCTATAATATAGTATAATATGCAAAAACAGTGTGTTACATCAGGTTACGATGACACGGCAGCGACGTGGAGGCGGTGACGAAGTATAATTTTTTAATTGCTCCGGTTTAATTAACCACACGGGTGGGTTAAAAAGCAGCATTTCAATTAATATTTTAGAACGAAATAAAAAAAAGTCTGTAACCTAGTAATTCAACCCTATACTAGGGGTTTATTTTTTTTAATTAATCGCTCGTTTCAACGCGTTATTATACATATGATCTCGCGTATACGGTTTTAAAACGTCAGGTGTGCCAACCCTTGCGAGACCTCATACACGGCGTGTTTATTTTACCCCATATACGAGTATTTCATTTTTTTTTTTAGTTTCTCCCCCCTCCCCCCGTACACTAATCCTTTTGCCGCGGTGACTGACACATAATAATATGTTGTACCCTTTTTCGTCACGTACACCGTATACCGGTCCCGAACCGGCTCTGTTCGAGTACAGCAGCCGTGGCAGTACCTTCGTCTCGCGTGTATAGCAATTTTTGATTATTTCGATCACTCTAATATTGTCGACATGATTGACGATAAAATGAACGCAAAATCGTCGCCGCCGCCTCTTCCACGGCAATCGTCYGCCCTTCCGCCGTATACCTACTCACGGCCGTTTCGTTTGTGCTACAGATATTCATGCAAAAGTCGGCGGCCATGCAGATGCAGGCTCGCGACTTCGGCCGGCCGGGCAGCATCGGTGGTAGTTCGTTAAGTGGCAGTGGCCTGGAAGTGAGCAAACCGCACCAGTGCCAGCAATGTCTCAAGTCGTTCAGCTCCAATCACCAGCTGGTCCAGCACATTCGCGTGCACACCGGCGAGAAGCCGTACAAGTGTTCCTACTGCGAGCGGCGATTCAAACAGCTCAGCCACGTCCAACAGCACACCAGACTACACACAGGTACTGAATAAAATATATAATCTCTAAACATATAATAGCTAAGTGTATATGAGTAACGCACATTTGGACGGGATGTATTATTATTATTTATTTCATTTTCAACTAACCGTGTAAGCTGTATAATGTTAATAATAATGATAAGGACAATATATCAGATGCGATTCGATTATGGTCCGATATAAAAATTTTACGCTTGGCTTTAAAATTACAACACTATACAATAAACTAGGCTTGCTGCTAATAATGAATGCGCAAAAATTATATAAAACACTCGTTTTTATATGTGCAATTGTACGGCGCACAAGTTRCCGGAATTTCATGGCCGCTATTACAACTGTAATTTTAGGAAATGGATTTTGGAAGCAACAAAAGAGTAAATAAAAATTAAAAATTCTTTACAGAATATATATGGTGTACCTATATTATATATATACTGATTCTGCTGTGACGACGAGATAAAACACAATAAGAAAGTCGAGTAAAGTTGTTATATTGTTTTTAATTCCTATACAAGCCCGCGAATTTCCAATCATATACAACCAATTTGTATCCTCTCTCCCTGTCAAACACCTCTCCATCACTTCGTGGAACTCACCCCGCGCCCATTATCGGTTGTAGACTTTTTTCTGTTCGACATTTTCTCAGGCGCATTCATTTATATTATTATGTATTCAAACTTTTTGAAAAGCCTTTCCATCCGCTGCCCGTAAAATTTACCGTTGTGTTCTGTTTCAAGATTGGTGAAAAAAAAAATATTTTCCTAAAAGCTGAAACGGTGACGGAGTTTTAATTATACGTTTCGACCGATAAGTTTTACAAAATAGTAACGCCGACGTTTTTACTAATCGAATAACCACCCGGCTTTGTCTTTTTTGGACTGAGTAAAAATAAAAACTGAGTACCTAATCTCACGAATTTTTTCGATATTGTTATTGCAATTTTTGTGATTGATGGAAACATTCTCACAATATTACAAATTATATAATGCGCTGCAATTATAAAGGTACTGCAGTGTAATAAAACATTCTATGTTCTAGTGCGACGGTAACGACGTGCACTTCACAAAACTGTTTACATAATTATATCGCTTATATATAATAGCAGTCTCGACGCGTATTGATAAAATATTATATTATTATGAAAGTTTTATGTATAATCTAAATTATAAAGTCATTCGAACATATTATTATAGACTTTATTTAATTGAACGAGATAAAAACTGTAGATTAACTTCGAACACAGTCGCGCGGGCTGTGTCATTGAACCGATGTGCAAGTTTATCAGTGGTGGACGAAAGGCGTGATTTCCCTGATTTCTGTGGAGTCATCTCGTGGTTTTCAGACGATGTGAATAATTGAATTATTTGTTAGACTAACGCGTGAAACGTTTTATTGTTATTTTTCTCTTTTATGACCAAAATCTGTCAACTACGGATAATTCATTAAAAACCAAACGCATCGAATAAGCAAACAAAAATTATTAATTATTATTATTGTAATAAAATCTAGATCAGCAGTAATTCACAAATTATTAATAACAATATTATTACAGGACTGCATATAATAATGTGTGAATAATAATAGTAACCATTGTAGTATCGTAGGCGTATCGATGTGCAATAAAATATCCGCCTGATGATATTTATATGAATAATACGTTTGAGCTTTGAAAATTGAAATGTAAATATATCCTTCTATASTACATRAAAAAAGATTGTAGTGAGCACTAACAATTTACAAATGGAAAAAAAACTAAATAAATAAATGGAATGAAATTAACACAAAAAAAATATAATCATTTTTTTCGCATTTCCCGAATAAATCACGTTTCGAAAAATGGTCCATCATTAACAGCTATTCATTCCCGTTAATTTTCTTCCCTTCAATATTCTCGGAGAAAAGTGTTCCCCTTTTTATGAATATAAAAAGAGCRACGAAATACGAAAAAAACCTTCTTGATTTTTCCCTACTGCGACGACCACCGTGGCTGCGCACACGGACCCTTGTCAACTCATTGGTCGTTTTATTGTTATTTACTTTTAACAGATATTGGAAAAAAGGGCGTTTCGCCGGCACTCCCGTGTTGTCGCATAAAAAAATAATATAAAAAAAACGAACGAAAAAGTTTCCAATTATTGTCTGATAAATTCAATATCATCAACAAGTAGCCTGGCACCGCTTTTTTGCTCCATTTAATCCTGACGTTTATTAAAAAGTAAATATGTATATAATATAGTAAACACTTATGTTCGAATATTTTTAAAAATTTTAATAGAAATCACATTTTCCCTCCGTTATGTCCACTCTATAATTTTGTACTTTATAGTCATTGGTATAGATAATATATATTATTAGGTATAGTATAGCGTTTTAATCGAACGTCGTCGGAGAGACTCCTTTTTTAATTACTAGCCAAATAAATATTAGTCTTTCCACTCASACACACACACCACTATAATACTCAATTATTATTTTTTATATTATATACGTGTATACGATTCGTACGCGTGCGATTAAAACTGCAGCTGCGTCAGAACTGGCTCTCACACGCCACGCATCGACATCGTATATATTATGCGTATATAATAATAATAATAATAGGTAATAATATCTCACATTCTCATTTCTCACCCCCTCTGGGTGGGGTTTGGCGCACATATGTGGGCGTGTGCGAAATCAAACATGGCTGATGTCCAGCACTGTGTACGCAAAATACGCAAGGGTATAACGAATGTTACCGATGTAAGAATAATCCTAGAAAAACGCTAATTATTTTAATATATCCCTGTGTACATATAAATATGTTTAGGTATACTTAATACGATGATAAATTATGTAATGTTAAGTACTTTTACGGTAGTACAATTTTTAGATTTAAACGAGACGTAAATGAACTATAGGTCACCTACCTATAGGTAATGACTATTACTTAAATTATGAATTTATGATAATAATAACATGATGAGCCTACTGCCTAAATTAGGTATGAAACAAAAATAAATGAAATGTCATTCTTGCGTCGTGGTCAACTATAATTATTAATATTTATTATTATTATACACTGCATGTGTATAAATTGTATAACATGTTCAGTGCACTATACGCTGTCGACCCTGTCATTTCCACCGATACGACTAACCACCAATGTATGAATTGTGTCTAATCGCAGTCACCACGATTATTATTTATAAATATTATTATTATTATACATGTATGCAATTAGGTTATAATTTATATAAATTTMATAATAATTTTCATCAAAGTACGTTGTACGGTTTGCTTTAGTGTAGATTCAAAGTATATAATGTTACGTAGTAAACCGTTAACCATACAAAAAAAATCATAAACGGATACTATACATTGATTTAATTATCAACGTAGGATTTTATTTCTATAATTCAATAGTGATTTGTGTTTTTCCGAAAAATTCCCGATATATTTAATCAGAATACATCAAAATATAGCAGATCAAACACTGCAACGAACTTTTAATAGTATTTATATGTATTTTAAAATGTATAATATGATTATTTTTCAATCGTAATTTGCAGTACCTAAAAATTATAAATTATATTACACAGAAACGCATTTTGTATTTTAAAAAAGCCTACTTTGTCCATGTGGATAAACTCATTGCTATTAATATCCCTACACATTTCTAAGCTGTTTAATGCCCACGAATGGTCATTCAATTCTGTAAAACGAAATCGACATCGAATGAGAGAAAAAATGCATATCCAAAAATTGATAAAYACATAATATTATATAGCAACGATGGTGCATAAATATGATTTTGGTCGAGCTCCGGGGGGAATGAATCAAATTACCGAAACCAATTTCCGCGTGTACTCCAATCTCCGGTGAAAAATGTTATCGTCGACAAAACAGAATCAGCGTCGAAATAATAGTAATTATTAACACGCAGTGGTAAAAAAACGGCGAAACTTATTCTCCGCAGTCAGCATACAGATTCAACTATCATGGTATTATAAGTTTCAAATTTCATAGTATAATTCTCTAATACTCTATATATAACATGATATTTTTATCTATATAAACGACATCGAATTCAAAGCACTCGAGCGTTTTTACTCGTTAACCACCGAGGGTGTGTTGTGCTTCGTCACCGATGGAAAAGTCAGCGGGGTGGTGGAGAGTTAATGGATACGACAGGTAAATCGCCGAGGCAATCAAACCGCGTGTAAAAAGTATAATACATCTAATAAAAATACAATACCATACACTGCTGCAATACTATATAGTAGGACAGTATAGCAATAGTATAGGTGATGCACATTACAATGTAATATTATAATTTATTACAATATGTGTACAAAACTGCAAACGTTATTATCAGCAAATTACAACTTCATACACGCTATTACACAGAGACCGTATATACAATATAATATTGTACTTATTATAGTGGTAGGTATAGACGGCGGTCGTGAACAACTACGGTACTATATGGCAATTATTGGCAATGTCCAGCAATATCGACGGCTCGCGTTTCGTGCACGTAAACAAAAAGCACCCTGCAGGTCTCTGGACTCATACCTTATAAMTATATAGGAATTAATTCATATTATTCGCATTTCACAATAATAATTTTCAAAATAGTATAAATAATAATATATTCGCCGGAAGTACCGGTACCAGTTTCGTAGCAGTGTGAGTTAATATTTTAATAGCGACGCGCGGTGTATATAATATGTATTATATTATTATAATATGTACGACCGCGTAATGAGTGGCAGCGGTGGGAAGAACGACCGTCGTAGGTAAGGAGTAAACGTAAAAACGGCACGCGCGGATATACATAATAATACTATAATGCGTAAAGTAATAGGTACAGACGGTACAGTACAAATATACAAATACCTATTTGGCTATTTGTTTAGAATATTAGTATAAAGACGTCTTCCGCCGGACACGTTCCATACAGTGCAGCKGCGGGCGGCGGCCGACTGATTGGCGGCTAATCCGTTTTAACTGGCGGCT